GTGATCCCTCAACTCGGTATTTCCCGACAGTACATATTAGATCATAGGTCATCTTCGACAGCTGCAGAACTTGTTGCTATAAAAGAAGCCATAAAATTTGTGAACAACCAAGCACCGCGTAAATGGACGATTCTGTCTGATTCAAAATTAGCGCTTCAAGCTATCCATTCTTGCTCAAGAAGAGGACAATTTTACAAGTTAACGTTAGGAATCGTCCAAGCATTTGACCTAACACACAGGAGTGGTCACTTGGTTACACTCCAATGGATTCCTGGACACTGCGGCCTGGTTGGCAACGAAACAGCCGATAGCGAAGCAAGAGCGGCAATATACAACGGTCCTATGTACGTGAAAGTACCCTACTCGCGAGGTGACGTCAACACGTTGTTGAGATCACTCATGCGCGAATGCGCTGCCACTTACTGGTCGCTACCAGATCACCGGAACAAGCGCCTGCAGGAAACAGACCCGGTAGACTTTTCGTCTTCCAGATAAAATCAGCCGAAGACATGCTAATATACTGCACCGAATTCGCCTGGGCGTCGCCTTCACTCGTCACTACACCCACCTAATCGGCCGTGCGGACAGCCCAAATTGTGAACGCTGCCAAGTGCGCGAAACGATAGCTCACATATTTTGTGACTGTGCATTATACGTGGCGCAAAGAAAAATGCTAACTGCAACGTTGGCAAGCATTGGACGAACACCATTAAGTGAAAGCCACATATTGTCTGCAATGAACGACCAAAAAGTGTCAAAAACTACTACAAAGGCTGTTCTAGACTTTGTAAAAACCACTGGACTAGAAACTAGACTGTAGGGTACTATGCTAAGTGGCTACTGTACATACGCACCACCTCTTCTTGTCCCCATCATCACCCTTCATCCCTCTTTCCTTCCCCTTTCCCTTATCCCCTGTGTAGAGTAGCAGGCTAGAGCGAACTAGCTCAGGCCGACCTCTCTGCCTTGTAATAAATTCTCACTCTCTCTACTCCCAACATGGATACTACAATTAAATCTTGGCCCTCAGTTTCCAGCGGCTGCGAAGCAACTGTCTCAGGTGGTGGTCAGACCTGCGACGTAGCTGGATGATGCTAAGAATATCTGGGTCCGGACAAGTCACCATCGGAATCTGACCTTGGCTGCGTTCGACGTTTAACGTTATCCAATGGGAACTATTCATTCAGCGAACTGGCAGCGCGGCAACACACGGCATAGGAAAGAACCACACCGCATAAACGCTCACTAATAACTTAGTTAATTTTCACGTTTCAAAAAAGACATTTATACGAGAAAAATGCGCATGTGAAAAAGAATATGAAGACAGTACGAGCAGCATGCGAAGCGTTTAATCGGGGTACTTGTCTATAGATTATCTATGCAGTTAATTTCATTAATGTAGTGATAAACGATAATGATAGATTGCGTATACATTGATATTCGTTCCTGGAAATATGATGCGCTTAAGAAATTTCACGCGTATAGATTGAACGAGGATGCGAAAAAAAAAAAAAAACCACGTTTTTTTTTTTTTCAAACAGCGATTGGCATTCGCACGAATCGCAATGCGACAGGAGTGTTGTATAACATGCCCCTGCTTTGTGGTCGCATGTAGTACTTTTTGATAGAAATGTACTTTCTTAGTGCGCAAGAACGTTTCAGAAAGAAGTCAGATAGGACAGAGCGCACACTTACAACCGTTTTATTGCTCAGTTGGCGGGAATATATATAGACAGTCAATAGGGCGAGGACTTGACACACAGAAAAATGGAACAAATGATGGTGCAGGTGTCAGATCATCTTATTTCAATCTTGAAATGAAAATTTAACTGAAAACATACTTGTATTCATTGTTCAGCAAATTGACTGATGGGGAACTTACACACTCAGTTCCTGCTTTGCGAAGCGACAAAAGCTTCATATATTTCACGTGCCCTCTTGTCCTTATATTTTGCCATTACTTGGCATTCATCAAACTTCAGGGTGCAGCTTACAATTCGCACACTGAGTTGCCATGTGGCTGCCCACTGATCCGCGCATGAGATTTTCCGTGCTTTCAAGGTGATCGTTCAGACAGTGCCCCATCTGAGCTATGTAGTGCCGACCACATTCGTGCAAATGCCAACCAAAAGTGTTCTTTTCCAGCATCCTCTTCAAAGTTTGCGCGAAATTTCTGAAGCGTATCCCATTCTCGAGGAATGCAGTTCAGCGTATCGGCTATCCATAATTATCACTACAGGTCTGTCAGTACCTACATAAATAATTCACAGAGAAGTGCCTCGGGGAAATGCTTCGCATGCTGCTCGTACTACCGTCATAAAAATTTTAATTATGCCCTTTTATGCACGCGTATAAATGTCTTTCGAACCTGGAAGTAAACCAATTGTTAGTGAGTGCTCGTGCTGTGTGGTTATTCCTCTGCATGTTTTGTGTGGCCGCGCGAACAGTTCTCTATTAATTTTAGTTCAAACTGGTCCACCTTTCTATCCTAGTGAGGCGAGCCAACTTTTCTTGGCAATGCAAGGAAAGCTACAGGGTCGGATCTTCAGTACATGTAGCACTACGCGAAGTTGACTGGCATGTGATGAGTTCCGTTCTGCTGTGGGAACTGATGGCTGCGCGCGAAGGGCGTTCCATATCGACGCAAACATTTCTTAGCGTTAGAGGTACACGCAAAATGCACAGCTTTTTCACGCGTTCAAAAACACGAAGTAAATAAGAAAAATAAAACAAATACTTTACTGGTGTGAGCTGTGTCCTGTTTCAAAGAGTGACACGCAAAAAAAAAGAAAAAGAAAAGCAGTATTCTTCACATCACACGTTGAAAATATAGACACCATTGTGTGACTACAATAATTAGCAGTATACGCGTGATTTAGCCTTCCCTCCATTGCCCTGAAAAGTTGTCTGGGTGTATATCTGTGCTATTCGAAGAAGTAGAGGGCTTGAAATGAGATGTAATAGGGTTCACCGAAGTTAGGAGGGCACACGAGACTTCTTGCTCAGAACCTTTTCTGTATACTGGAGATTCATACGGTATAGTTCAATTCAATTCAATTTTACTTACCAGAAAACAATCTGAAGGGACACCTGGGCAAAAAGCTGTAGCAGCAGCTTGACGAAGGCCCAGGGTCCCTTACATGGCAATATCACATATATGACACATGTCAACAAGTGTTTTTACATGGCATTCACATCGAAAGCTTTGTACATACAGATCAGCATAAAATGTAACAATGACACTTCGTACAAGAATGAAGGTAATGCAATACTTTTGAAAGTGAGTAAACTTATTTTCAAAAAAAAGTGTTGGTACCCTTTACATCCTGCAAAATGAGAAATGCTCGAGTCAGCATAAATGATTGATTTTACCAATAAGTGACGAAATTATCTGCGCTGTTGTCAAATAACTCTCTTCGTGCACCTTGCACAACTTCTCTTTATGTTGAGAACCAGTGTACTTCACTTGGGCGCACCTTAAAAACACCAGGTGGTCGAAATTTCAGGAAGCTCTCCTTCTGCCACTTCCCTCGTACTATGCCATGGTTTTGGGACGTGAAACACTGACAATTATTATTACCTTGGTTAAAGGTGCACCAGAAAACAGCCGCCTTCCGGCAAAGAGGGAAATTAATACGGCTTAGTACATCAAAAAAGCACGATTGCCGCTATACGAAGACAAATTGTAATCATCGCAAACTACTGTGTGATAGCCATGTGTGCGCAGTTAATATTCAATCGTCGACGTCCCCAACTTGATACTAAGAATGGATGGAAGAAGTTTGCAGGGCATCCGATTTCTACCGTTCCGCGCAGAGCACCAGCCATGCTGAGTGCGTGGTATCTTGAATTGCATTTTTTGCTCAAAGTTGCCTTTACCAACAGGTGGTGAGCATGCCCAGGGTCACATGTGACACTTTTTTCTTAGTGGAAGATACGTGCCCGAAGCCTATGCTGGTGTTGGCAAGCTTCGAATTTGATCTTGGAAGTAAAAACACGCGATGACCACCATGTTTTGACACAATACTCGAACGCCAGTCAGTGCGACATTACGATATATAATCGCGAGAACGCAAGGTTCCAACGTAACCAAGTAGCCAATACGTTTTTTCTCCCGCTAGTGACCTCAAGAAGCAGGCAAATCGGCGCGAAATTGCCCGACCTGATGTCGAATCATTTTGCAGTGATGTTAATTACAGCTTCCATAGGTAAAAAGCAAGTTGCGAGAGTTAGGAGAGAATGTTGGCTAAATGCGAGAAACACGTGTGTACCCGCGTTTCACGCGGTATCCCGAGTGACGCTTTCGGATTCTTTTCATCGGACGCCTCAGAGATGGCTCTATCTGCCCTCCCTGCCTTTTCTAAGATCACTATAGGGGACATGCTGCTGCGCCAACAGAATGTGGTAGTCACTAGAGCTCGCGAATGGCCAGTCGGCGACCGCCATACTCCCCCGGAGAGCCTAATGGACCCCGTCCAAACCTCTCTGCCAACCACTGAGGACGAGGAGGCCAGGCGCCAGTTGTTCGCGAAGAGGGACGCGAAGGGAACAAAAAGGATGAGGGCAAAACGCACGAGCGGAGAGAAGCTGAGGAAGCTGTGCCTTTCTCCCTCGGCGCTTCGCACTGCGCAGGCAGCCAGCCGGCGGCGGCGGACGGAGGTTGAGAAAGGAGGAATCGAGGGATGCTGAGAGGCAAGCGAGCCGGCAGCGGCGCAGCGCGCGACGCCCCGCGATCGCGATCCAGTCGATGATTTCTGCCGAGCTGTACCGACTCGCCGCGACCGATTCTTCTTCTTTTCCCCTCCCTCCCACGTAGGGTTTGAAACGAAGTAAGAAAGAGTGCAAGGGTTAGTGGTGGTGTGTCGGATCCTTGAAATAATAATAAAAAAAAGTGTTCATCTCCTGGAGACTGCACCGGTCATCGCCGTCGCTCCTCCGTCGTCGGAGACTTTGGCAGGGATGTTTCGTGAGTGAGAATCTTCCCGATCGTGGAGGTGGTGGCGACGAACGATGTGAAAGGGGGGAGCTGACCGAAGGGAAGCGTTTGCGGCGGCGGGCGGGCCAGCGCCGAACACCTGTTGGTTTGAACACCGGCGCCGCGGACGTGGTTGATCGCGTGCGTAGTCTTCTGCGCACACCGACGACGACCGCAGTCGGATTGTCCCCATCGCGAAGAGTGTGACTCGAGCGTCAGTGGACGTGGCGGCGCCGGCCATGAGGAAGTACGCGACGGGACCCTAGCGCGGGCGCGTGGGCGCGCCGTGACCGCGACCTGGAGAGTCCCTCGCTCGTCGTCTCCCGCAGCGGCGGCGATGACTGGGCTGCGTGCCAGCGGCTGCTCGAGGTGAATGCGGCCCGGCGGCCCGGTGGTCGTCGCCCGCCGGCATGAGTCGACGCCGTTGTCCGGCGGCGAGGAAGAAGCGCAGGCGCGTCCGTGACGGCTGCGGGCCCCCGCCAGAGCATCGCCGCGCGGGCGGGCCCTGAGGCGAGCATGGGCCGCTCGCTGCTCTACCCGACCTAGAGGAGCAGCGGCGCGAGCAAGCTCGCCGCGGTGGCCGCAAGCATGAAGAAGATGGGGCTCCGCTCCGGCGGCGCGCGCTGCGTGGAGCCCGGAGGCCGGATCGTCAAGTACACGCCTTGCACGCGGCGGGACATGCGCGTCGACGACGACCTGGACGAGATTGCGGTCGTCAGCAACGCTGCGCCTGAGAACGTAAAGTACGGCGCCAGCGGCGGCGGTTCGCTCACGACCAACGGACCCAGGGTGGTGCCGGGAATCATCACCTCCGCTGGCGGTGAGCGCCTCGATCGCCGCTCGTCGCCCCTGTACACGGGTCGTTCCTCGGAGAACATCAAATCGGCCTCGTCGCGACAGTCGCTGCTGGAGACAGTTGCGGGTAAGCTGCAGCACCGCGGATCAGTGTCAGCCGCCGCCGCCGACGGCGTCCGGTCCCGCCCGAGCCTGGCCTTCATCAACCGCGCGCATGTCAGCTCCGACCTGGAGATTACCGCGCAAGACGCGCGAATTGCGCCGCCGGGAGATCAAGCGCGAGTTCGAGAAGTGGGACGCGACGGGAGGAGGCGCCGGGGGTGGCGGAGACCGGTCACGCTGCAAGTGGACCTTCGTGTTCGATCCGTCGGGACGTCTCTGCTACTACTGGTCCATGGTGGTGAGCGTTGCGTTCCTATACAACTTTTGGGTAATCATCTACCGCTTCTCCTTCTGCGAGATCAGCGCGTCCAGCATATTCGTCTGGTTCGCGCTCGACTACCTCGCCGACTTCCTTTATGTGCTGGACATACTATTTCACTTCCGTACGGGCTTCCTCGAAGAAGGGGTCTTGCAGACCGACTCAGAGAAGCTTCGCGCACACTACATGAACTCGACCATGTTTTACATCGATGCGCTTTGCCTACTGCCGCTCGACTTCTTGTATCTCTCCATCGGCTTCAACTCGATCCTGCGCTGCTTCCGCCTCGTGAAGATCTACCGGTTCTGGGCCTTCCTGGACCGCACCGAGCGGCACACCAACTACCCGAACGTGTTCCGCGCCGTAAACCTGACGCACTACGTGCTGGTTATTTTCCACTGGAATGCCTGCCTGTCGCATATCATCTCGACGACAGATGGTTTCGGCTCTGCCGGCTGGTTCCGCAGCAGCTCGTGCGAAGCGAGCGACGTGCTGTGCGAGTACCTGCACGCCTTCTACTGGAGTACGCTGGCGCTGACCACCATCGGCGACCTGCCGCGGCCGCGCACCAAGGGAGAGTACCTGTTCCTCGTCGTGCAGATTGTGCTCGGTTTGTTTCTCTTCGCGGCCGTCTTGGGCCACGTGGCCAATATTGTGACCAACGTCAGCGCGGCCCGGAAAGAGTTCCAAGGTGAGTGCGCCCATTGCTTCCCAGTCATGGTGTGCCGATTAATAACGGCGTTACGCCAATACTTCAGCGTCTTCCTGGCGTATGTTGCAAAAGTTTCCACACGAAACTTGCAGGATGGCAAGTTATTCTGGGAGTATCGTTAAGGAACGCGCGAAACTCAGCTGATCAACAGTGGCTGTACGACAACAGCGCCATTCACTGGGAACCAGGCTTCGCGCTCTGTAAAGTACTCGCACCGGTCCGCCTCGAAGATGAGCATGTCATTGGCGAACACTGACTTTTCAGTAACAAAAGCTTATTCAGAACTGAGAATGTTTGCTTACTCAGTGTTCACAAGTATGAAATGATGATACGGCGATTCAATTGTTCGCCACAGGAAATTTCAGTAAATTCTCATTGTTATGGTACCCGTGAACGCGGACAGTCTATGACAGGCAGATTTTAAGAGCTCGTAGGTTTGTTGACAAAGTAAGGTAAGACATAACATTGTTCAAACATGCTTCTTGTAGTCGAAATAGTAACTATACCCAATACCAACACAGTCTGTGAAGAGATAACGCTTCTATGTAGTAGTTCGCATTGGCATGGTTGATTTTATTTTCCGTGGAAGTAAGTACACTGCAATGTACAAAATGGTAAGTACAGCTACCTCACTCATGAGATTTAGTTGAAGCTGTCGCACACATAATTAAGTTTCAATGTGCCATTGCATCAATTGAACTGGCAGTATTTCGCAATGTACAAAGCTAGTATCTGAGTCTGTGTCCATGAAGGGCACTCATTGCAATTATTCGTTAGGGAGAAATGTGACCAACCCAGCTCAACGCATCATTAGCGAAAGCGACCATACAAAGGTATGCATCCATTTCAGTTGGCTAACATCGTTAATTTTAACGGTGTCCTCTTAATTGTGCCGCAAGTCCTAGCTCTGAATTCTTTCTGTACAATGATAAACATCCACAAAAAAGAAATCTTAGACACAATTGCACTCGTAGCAGAAAAATAATATGGGATTGCATTGAAAAAGGATCCACACTTCAATACTCAAGTAAGCACTTTATTTTTTACCCAGGGAAATTTATTTGATGTGCACACGTGAGTAGGAAAGTGTATGCATTACAGGGTGTAAAGCTTCGTCGTCGAGACGCCAAGTACAACGAACACGCGCTGCATAATATATCATGTCATTTACGTGTATTGAGCCAAAAACATGTGTGCTGCCTTTCACAGATGAAGTTCGTTTTATTTTAGGAATCTGTGGAGGTGACATAAGTCGCATATTTTATCCATTTACGATTGTATGCAGCTCCTGGAAAAAACACCGTCTTGGTTGGTTCTATATTTCTGGTTTCGTTACGTGTTCGGAAGCGTCATATTACTTGGTGAAATACAATAGCTTGCTTTCCTTTTTCATATTGACTGATGGACGTCGTACCCTGGCGCACAGTTAGTTTACCTTCGCAGTCTTAAGTTTATTTAGTTCAGTATTAATGTGAAGAACTTAGGAGTGCTCCACATTTGTTAAATTTCACTTATTCAGATGTTAAAACGAGCGAAGCTGCCTTGCAACACAGCGGGATAGTAGACGATAGCGGGTAGGTTTCTAAAGTATACGAAGGAAAGAAAGCACTTAACAGCGCTACTCCTACGAATGAAGACTGTCGATGCGGACCCGAAAGCGCAGTCCAGAATGTTGTAAGATGATCACCTATCATGCTCAACTACGAGAGTGGTTTTTTAAAGCGAAGTCTTCGGATGTATCTGGGTATGAATGACGTCAGTAAAGTAGGGTAGGATTATGAGTGTGAGCAACTATAGAAGAACTGGTAAAAAAAAACATCGATTTCAGCTACTTTATCTTTCTTGCAAACAACAACTACCAAAAGAAGAAGTACTAAGCTGGGGAGATGAAAAACTAGCAATTAGGCAGATTCAAGCTTTTTTACCTGAAGCTTAAAAAAAATTGCAGGTTCCACGTAATTAGGGAATCAAAGTTACGCGAAGCATGCAGATGAAAGGTGACGGTGTTGTAATTTTTGAATGAGTGAAATATTACAAAGCAGTGCTAAAGATAAGTGCAAGTGCACCCAGAGACATCCAGCCGCATATATTTTATCACCAGTTGTTGACAGTTACGAAACGATGCCAACAGCAACACGAATATTGGTAACACCAGCAGTGGTAAGCTCATACAAAGTGCTGATGTTTGCGAGGATGGTGCCCTGAAAACCGCGACATAAATCGATTTCAGTCGATGACGCCTATCCACAATTAAAGTTAATTCGACGTGAGGGCTGTATCGTGGAGTGCATAAGTAATGTTTATAAAATCGGATGGCCAGCACTGCAACCACATTTGTCGTTTCACGAACATAAGAGTCTATTTGAAAATCAGTTCCGTGACCTTGCGTGGCTCTGTGGTAGAATACTTGATTGCCACGCATAATGATGGGGATTGATTCCTGTGGAGACCCTGGCAATTATTTTTTTTGTATTTGTCGGGTCAACGCTGCCGATATCAGTATTTTATTGCGATAGCAATTATACGGACAATCTTGACTGGATTTTGCCGCTGGCATCAACGTGAGCGTCGCCGTCACTCACCGTATATGTATACGTACCTATACATATGAAAATGCAAGAAAAAAGATCCAGAATGAGACTCCGGTGCGCGGAATAGCGCAATGAGAGCGCGTAGCAACATCGTCAAGACGTGGCGGCCGCGCTCTCATCTCCCTCGCGCACTTTGCCCCGCAAAAATCAGGAGGTCGACGCCCACTCGCGCGCCCTTGTCTCGCGGTAAAGATGATCGTACGTCTTGGCTAACGTTCCGCTTTTACCGGGCGCACAAAGGTCACTGCAATCGTTGCACAGTCTACGTTTGCGAAAAGAACGTGCTTTTCAAGCACAGCGATGTAACAACTGAGACCCTTATTTGCGTTCATCTGTACCTGAGAGTACGTTTTGTGCGCCATTTGTGCGTGAGAAACGTGAGGCACGTTTCCATCCGCTGGCAATTCTGTTCGTGAACTTCCAATTTGTTGCTTTCGCGTTCATTGCTTCGTCTTCGCGCCAAAGCAGTGACTTATTTTTAAAGGTCCCGTGAACCACCCAGAGGGCGAAAGTCGGTTGTAATGGGGAAATCGTGCCCGAGTGTACGAGGAACACGGAGCCGCGAGAATTTTACGAAACGGTGCAGTGATAGCGGAGTTAGACGCATTTGATTATCGAAACCGTGACGACCACATCTCTCGCTCCCCCCTGCGCTTCCCTCCGCTGGTATCCGCTGGTATCCGACCAACAACAACTAGCAGCGCGGGCACTGCTGCTTGCAGACTGACCGGAAGTCGTAGGCTTTTGCTCGACCAGTCACAGCATATTTGGCACATTTGGCTCGGCGCGTCCGAAATGGGGCACGCCGAAATAGTTAACCAGCGAAGCTAAAACGTGCGACCACAGGCGGTCTCGGACGTCGTAGCCGAAAACAAAGTGCCACACGCGAAACAAGCGCGTCAGCTCCGAGGAACGCGTTTCCGCCATTGCCTATTTAGCGATGCTCGTCCTACAACACTGCTGCTTCTTCGGCTCGACGTTGTGGCTTGGATTCGGCTCGGAAGGCTGCGCAGTTGCTGTTTGCACTTCGCCCGTTCTTGTGCATCGGCCCGGCGAACATAACTCCTGTCGCTGTCCTTGGAAAGTTGTCTGCTGTTCGGGCGTTCTTACGATCCGTGTCCACACCATCTGAAAGGTGAACTTTCTTGTGAAGCCGAACTTCTCACGTACCCACGAGCCCGTCACGTGATGTTTGTTTACACCCCTACTTTGCCTATCGATCTGCTTGAACGATTTCCTTGTCTGAGAGGCGATGCACGCGGAGACTGTGAGACCGAATTATGTTCTATACACTACTCTCTCGTTCGCATCTTTCCTGCATCCATTCGTGCCCCATACCTGTGCAGTGCCGTTGAGTTCACAGATAGACAGCGCTGCACTTTTTTTTCTTCATTATTCCCCCTTAAACTTTAAAACCACTCCGGTTAAACAACTGCGCCTGGGTTTGTGGCACGGCAGTGAGGGACTAAACAACGTCGCTGACGGCGCTCCCAATTGCGCATGCGCTTGATTGCAACGCAGAGAACGACGTGACTGATGAAGCGGCCAATGAAGACGTTGATTTTTTTGTGTTGAACGGTTTTTCATTTCGCCTAGCCATATACAGCTTTTGCGAGAAAAAAATAGCATGTTTCCGTTTTTATGGGGACTATAAGATAGCTGTTCAAGCATAATAAAACCACAGTTTTGTCGGGATTTCTGCGACCGCTCGACCCTCAAGAGTGTGCCACTTGCCTCAGAAGCATAGATTCGCGTGCCCATCTATGCCCTCTATATGCTGTCAAGCTGAGCAACGGCGTCCTGGACTATTCCGCCCACAGCGACGGACCGATGGCGCTAACGGCATCGTTCCAGCTCCTGGCGCCGTGCCTACCGTCGGACACGTCGCTCTTGCCAAGTGATCCGTATGCCGTCGCAAGCATCGTGGACAGTGTGAATTAAACAAGAAAAAGGGAAGACGAGCAGCGTGCATCCAGCTTGTGGAAGTCGATTCGTCTTGGCAGCGGCGTATAAAGCCCGTTTCTAACATTCCTCATTCCGCTCGACCCCTGGGAAGCGGTTGGACAGGACGTGGAGAATGATTTGCGTCTTTTTTACCTGTCGACTGTGCTTACATTAGGCGAAGTGCATTTCGATATTATGGCGTGTGTTTTCGGCTTGCTGGTGAGGTGCAAGGCCAGCCCGCGTTGAGATTCCCTCTTCCTTTTTCGTTCTGTCGCATACCTTACAGGTTATGTATGTCTTATGTCTCCTTTACACAAGTTTGCTTTATAACAACCTATAAATCAAGATATACGCGTATTTGCTTCAATGGTTGAAAGACTTCTTTCGCATTTTGCGTGTGCTGTCACACATATTGTCTATTATGAAGGTATAGCCACTACAAAG